ATATATATATATATTACTGATTTGGGATAATGTATGCAGATGTTTGTATGGTTGAAATTATTATTAAGCATTGGTATGCTATACTTGATCAAGATGTTAAGCATTGGTATGTTATTCTTGAATAAGTTGATAGGCACTAGTATGCTATATTGGAATGATGTGATTTGATCTCTATACGCAATGACCTAGGGTAATGTCTATAGATGATGTATGTTGAGTTTTTGATGTTAAGAATGTTGTGGACATTAAAGCATGTTGATTGGCTTAGGACTGAAGGAGAGGTGTTGTTTTTGAAAGTTGAAAATCCCATGTAGGGAATCTTGTTGTAGCACTCTAGCTAGGAGGCCAATTGTTGAAAACCCTCCCTTAGTAGGTGCGAAACTCTTAAAGTAGATTTTGTTAAGTCTTTTATAAGTCCTTAGTTAATGTTGGAGTAAAGTATGAAGTCAAGAGCTACAATCCTTAATTGATTACTTGAAAGGTTGGTTGATGAGTTGTATGTTGATGATGTGCTGATAGCTGTATCTGTTTACTATTCATGTATTTCCATATATGTATGATGATTCTTTTCACTAGCTTACCCTTTGTTGTTTCCATGTGTTTGGACTACGATGATCATACGTTGTATGGGAGCAGAGCAGGGCTAGGTTGGTGAGTTGAGGCAGGTCTAAAGCTGGCTGATAGAGCTGATTCTTTTGATGTTTTGTTGTTTTAGCTACCTAGTGTGGCATTGCGCCGGGCGAGCTTGAGAATGTGAGCCTCTAGATGGCCCACGCCGGGCGTGGTGGGACCGTGCTGGGCGCGATATCAGGAAGTAACTTGGTTTTTTATGGTTCTAGTGTGGTACCGGGCGTGACCCTGTCTCGCCGGGCGTGGGGACTCCTTGGAGTCTTTGCCAGAGGTGGCGCCAGGCGCAATTCATATTGCGTCGGGCGTGAGACCTTAGGGAAGTCTCTGCTTACCTTGCGCCGAGCGCGGGTTTGCACGTCGGGCGTGTGAGACCTTTTGAGGTCTCTGCCTCCTAGCACGCCGGGCGCAATAGGTATTGCACCGAGCGCGCTTGAGCCCTGATGCTTTCTGGTTGTGCTACGCCGGGCGCGACCATGAGTGCGCCGGGCGCGACCATGAGTGCGCCGGGCGCGAATGATATGTTGTCTTATATGCTGTTATATGCTTATATATGTTGAATTATGCTGAAATTGCTGATAGATGTTGTTATATGTTGAGCTAAGCTGTAAATAATGAATATTCCTGTGCTGTTAGATGATAATGCTAAATTATGATGTTTAAGTTGTGCGGTATAATGTTGAGCTGTGCTGTATGTTATTATTGCTGAAATGTTGTGCTGTGCTGCATGCTGATATAAGCTGTTGTAGGCCGTAAGGCTGAGCTGTTGTAGGCCGTAAGGCTGAGCTATTGTAGGAGATCTCCGAGCTGATATGCGTGACGATGCATTATGTGTTTATTGCTGTTTACGATGTATAGTTGATGAGTTGTATGTTGATGATGTGCTGATAGCTGTATCTGTTTACTATTCATGTATTTCCATATATGTATGATGATTCTTTTCACTAGCTTACCCTTTGTTGTTTCCATGTGTTTGGACTACGATGATCATACGTTGTATGGGAGCAGAGCAGGGCTAGGTTGGTGAGTTGAGGCAGGTCTAAAGCTGGCTGATAGAGCTGATTCTTTTGATGTTTTGTTGTTTTAGCTACCTAGTGTGGCATTGTTGGATGTAATTTGTATACTCTGATGTTAGCTCAGATTGGACCTCGTGTATATATATATATTGTAGCTACTTATGTATATGCATGTCCTTTCTGTGTGGTTCTATGGTGTTGGGCAGAGTGTAGTGGCCAGCCGGGTCGTTACACTTTAGTGGTATCAGAGCAATTCGAGTCTAGTGGGCACTCTTTGGGGGTGGTTCTTTTAGGCTTTTGTTGTGCTGAACTCTATGTTATGCTGATTTATTGTTGTTTGCTGTGCTGTTGATTGTTGTTTGGTTCATTTATTGTATACTAAAGATGCTGTTACTTTTGTAGACAATGATTATAACCAATGAGCAGATAGCCCGTGCCATGGAGATGATGGCCATGGCTATGCAGCAGCAAAATGCCTATTTTGCTCGGATGGATGCTGATAGAGCTGCGGTTGGTGCAGCAAGGCCCGCGGGGTCACAGGAGAGCCGGGATCTAGCTGAGTTCCGGAAGTGCCATATATATATATATATATATATATTTTTTTTTTTTTATGTCATTTTCAGTTATAAACTACTCCATATACTAAATTATATCTCATGAAATTCTCTTTTATGCTTGAAAAAAATGGCAAAATTTTTAAAATAATATTATATTAAAAACTTTTGTTAAGCCATTATAAACTGAATTTTGAACCGTGAGCTTTTGGTTCTTTAACCAAGTTTTTGCTAAGCCAATTTTGTAATTTTTTTGAACCTGTCAAATGATTGCTTCATCGATTTTATGGTTCAATTTTCAAAATAGAGTTACAAATGTTGTGGATCGTATTATATGGATTGTGATATGAATTGTGCACAAATAAAAGAAAATAATATTAAAATTTTATGTATTATTATATAATTTTTAAAAACCTATAATTAATATTTTTCATCATTATGATATATCAAAGTAAAAAAAAATATCAATTAAAATGTAAATAAATTATTCTCGACTAATATATTTAACAAATTTTGCATTAATAATTTATTAGTTATTCTCGGTTATGATAATTTGAACTAACGACCTTAGACCTTTGCGTTGATGGCTTAAGGAAATATAAATAAATTATATTAATCATTTTTTTTCTTTATTTAACCACAATTGTCCATTTATACATATTTTATTATCTAGTTAAAATTGATTAAATATATGTTAGCATAAATTAAAAGATGTATTCGATATAAAAGAAAATACTCCGTTTTGAATATAAATAACAAAAGTTTATATTTGTTGGTCTTAAATGTATATAAATTTTATTTTATTTTATTTAATGTTACAATTCCTAAAATTGATTAAATATATGTTAGCATAAATTAAAATATTTATTCGATATAAAAAAATACTCCGTTTTGTATGAGACCCGTGGCTTGTTTTCTCACTTTCTATCTCTCAACTCTCAAACTCTCACTCTCTTCTTCCATTTTTGCTGGCTTTGCTCTCATTTGTCCTTGTGGTGAATTTGGATTGAAGGTGCTGAGTAGGTGGTTGTTTCTTCCGGAGCCGTGCGGAGATCTCTCAAGCTTCTCATCTTCCCCTTTTCTACTCCTTCTTCATTGTCTTCTTCGTCCCAGAGCTCGGAAATTCTTGTACCGAAGTAAGGGAAGCTAGGTTTCTTAGCCGATTCTGTTGGAATGAGTTCTTAAACTCATTGTGTGGCTGATTTCTTGAGGAATGATGGCTGTGTGTGATGAAATTCGTTTTCGGGGTTTTTCGGGGTTTTGATGAAAATTTGGGATTTTTCTTAATTGTGGTTGCATGTGTAAAAAGATGATGTTTTTGAACTCTTTGATGAAAATGTGATGTTTTGGGCCGATTACATGTGGATTTTCATCTATTTTGCAGATTTTTTGAAGAGATTTTCGAACTTGGTGAGTTGCTGTTGAGTATCACGCCGGACGCAGTTCTTCGCGTCGGGCGCGTGACCACCAGAGGGCTCCATTTGGGCAAGCACGTCGGGCGCAATGGTGTATGCGCCGGGCGAGCTTGAGAATGTGAGCCTCTAGATGGCCCACGCCGGGCGTGGTGGGACCGTGCTGGGCGCGATATCAGGAAGTAACTTGGTTTTTTATGGTTCTAGTGTGGTACCGGGCGTGACCCTGTCTCGCCGGGCGTGGGGACTCCTTGGAGTCTTTGCCAGAGGTGGCGCCAGGCGCAATTCATATTGCGTCGGGCGTGAGACCTTAGGGAAGTCTCTGCTTACCTTGCGCCGAGCGCGGGTTTGCACGTCGGGCGTGTGAGACCTTTTGAGGTCTCTGCCTCCTAGCACGCCGGGCGCAATAGGTATTGCACCGAGCGCGCTTGAGCCCTGATGCTTTCTGGTTGTGCTACGCCGGGCGCGACCATGAGTGCGCCGGGCGCGACCATGAGTGCGCCGGGCGCGAATGATATGTTGTCTTATATGCTGTTATATGCTTATATATGTTGAATTATGCTGAAATTGCTGATAGATGTTGTTATATGTTGAGCTAAGCTGTAAATAATGAATATTCCTGTGCTGTTAGATGATAATGCTAAATTATGATGTTTAAGTTGTGCGGTATAATGTTGAGCTGTGCTGTATGTTATTATTGCTGAAATGTTGTGCTGTGCTGCATGCTGATATAAGCTGTTGTAGGCCGTAAGGCTGAGCTGTTGTAGGCCGTAAGGCTGAGCTATTGTAGGAGATCTCCGAGCTGATATGCGTGACGATGCATTATGTGTTTATTGCTGTTTACGATGTATAGTTGATGAGTTGTATGTTGATGATGTGCTGATAGCTGTATCTGTTTACTATTCATGTATTTCCATATATGTATGATGATTCTTTTCACTAGCTTACCCTTTGTTGTTTCCATGTGTTTGGACTACGATGATCATACGTTGTATGGGAGCAGAGCAGGGCTAGGTTGGTGAGTTGAGGCAGGTCTAAAGCTGGCGGATTGAGCTGGTTCTTTTGCTCAAATTCATATTTAATCAGATTAGTTAGACACTTATCACTCCACCATCCTCAGCAGCTCCACCCCCAAAGAAAGGAGCCTGGTCCCCAGGCCAACCAATATAAGCATGATAGGCATTAGTGGTGGGGAACTGGTAGGCAGGGGCGGAGTGCAGGGAGAAACTCCTGAAGGTATCCAATATGAACATCTGCCCGCGGTAGAGGGACTCCATCCGGTCCTCCTACCTCTGAATATAAGTCTCCAGGCGGCCCTCCAGTGCGTCAAAACGCTGATGGAGAGTGAGTGGAGGGCCTGGAGCAGCAGCATCCTCCATGGGTATGTCCTCCTGAGGCGCAGCGGCATGAATAGGCTCTGGTGCTGCTGGTGGTGCGCGGTCCTGGCAATAGGCAGAAATGTATCTGCTGTCAATGGCCCTGCCAGGACCCTCAAAAGGTGGGGAGTGGACATCCACGCCTGCGAGCTGGCATAGCTGAGTGATGAGTGACAGATGTCCAAGGGCGGAGGAAGGAGCCGAGTTGGCACAGCCAGAGATCTCCATACAAATGATGTCGCCCAGGTCCACGGTCCTCTGTGTCATGATGCAGTACATGAGTATGGACCGGGTCCAGTGCAGGTCGGAGACATGTGAGCACGGGAGGATGTTGGCATGCATCAATGCAGACCAAATCCTAACCACTGGAAGGAGATCCCGGCGCTTGACGTGGAGAGGCTGCTGAGATCGGTTCCTGTGGAACCCAAGTCCATGCATGCAGATGGCAGCCTCTACGTCCGCACGGTCCATCGTGTCAATGGAGTAGTTGCCATACTCATTCACCTCGTCAGCCCTGAGCGCAGTCCCTAGAAACTGATTAATCGTCCGGGCATCATAGGGGACTCGCACCCCCCGAACATAGCTGGTAAATGGCTCAATGCCCTCCTGTCTCAGAGCATTGGCGTAGAACTCCTTGACCACAGCTATGTTGGCCGGGAGTGGGTAGGAACCAAGTTTGTCCCACCTGCGCCTGTGTAACTCCGCCTGAAACTCCGGGGCCTCATTTTCTTCTAATTCAACCCTCCGCTCCAAAATAAACTTCCTGGTACTGATAGACTCAAAATGAGTCTCATTCTGCTCGGTGAGGAAGAGGTTGGAATAGGGCCGACTTGGCTTGCGGGGAGGTTGACCCGATTTACCAGCACGGGGGCACTTGCTTGAGGAGGCCATCTGCAAAAATAAAAAAAGAAAATCCAGGCAGACAAAACATGAGCACAACAAGGTAAACAGGGATGACCAGTGTAGGTAAAGCATAATGAGGGCTAGCCTTAGACTGAATAGGAACCTAAAAAGAAAATAAAACACAACAATCAGAAGGGGTTCAGAGGTAGTCGCGCCGGGCTTATGACTTGTACGCCGGGCGCAAAGAGCATATAGCTCTCTCTGGAAGCAAATGCGTCGGGCGCAAAACAAAATTGCGCCGGGCGCAGAGAGTAGAGAAGACTCTCTGGAACCAACTGCGCTACGCGTAAAAATGGATTGCGCCGGGCGCAGGTAGACTTATTTGAAAATTTGGCCCAGAACGGGCTGTCCCAAGATCAGAACGGGCCGTTCTTAAGTTTGAAACGGGCCATTCTGGAATTGGAACAGTCCGTTCCAAGCTCCGAAACGGGCCGTTCTGGAATTGAAACGGGCCGTTCTGAAGCTTTAACAGTAGTTTTCACGCCTGGCGTGACTGCACCCCAATGTGGGTCATAGTTCCCACTGTAAACAACCCAAAATCACAGAAAAGGAGAGAAAAAGGGATGCTTGAAACGAAAATAGAAAAGAGCAAATACGAAACCTACTTGAGATGGAGTGCATGGAGGAAGAAGAGTAGCCACGTGCCCTTAGGGAAGGAGATGAGTGAAGGTGAGGGAGAGATTGAGTGAAGTGAATTGAGAGGGGAGAATGGGAGTTTTGGGGGAGTTGAGAGAGGTTCTAGGAGATGAGGAATTGAGGGAAGTTCTGGGAGATGAGGAGTTGAGGGAAGTTGAGAAAGTGGGAACGTGGGAGAAGAGGGAAAAAGGTTTTAGGGGCATCTGAAGGGTCACGCCGGGCGTGCCATTTTCCACGTCGAGCGCCATATCAGTAGAATTTCAAGGGTTGCCCTTATCTGGTATGGCGTCGGGCGCTGCCATTTCGCGCCCGACGTAGCTAGGGTTACAATCGTGCCAGTATTCAATGCGCCGGGCTTGGCAGATACGCGCCCGGCATATTTAAGGCAGAGGCCTCCAGTGGTTGATGCGCTGGGCGCATTTATGAGAGCGCCGGGCTTGCCAACCCTTGGAGCTTCTAGTATTTAATGCGCCCGGCGTGCCAGTAAATGCGTCGGGCTTGGTCATTCCAGGGGCCATAATGAGGAATAGGCCGGGCACAATAGAAATTGCGCCCGGCGTGGGTCTTGGCAGAGACCAAATGCCTCTGGTTGCGCTGGGCGTGGGTAAGCCGCGCCCGGCGTGATCTAGGTTATGCAGGGTTCACTTGAATTTTTCACTCCTCACACTCCTAACATATTTATCCTATATCAACCCACTCAAGCAAGTTTCACACAATTAACACATAACACAAAACATATATAGCACAACACAATACATATAACTCATAACAACCTATAACACAAAACAACTAAGCACCATAAACCAAGTTCAGGAACACATAAAACAAGAATCTAAAATTGGTACTAGAATCTAAAACATAAATGATATGAGAAACACATAAACAAAGTTCAGATCTCTGGGTTGCCTCCCAGGAAGCGCTTGTTTAATGTCCCGAGCCTGACTAGAAGAGACCTCAAGGGTCTCTGAAAGAAAGGATACAGCAGAGTCTTCCATCCTCTATGAGTGCTTTCTTTTTATCTCTACTTTCTCCTTCTTTATCTTTATCAATTTCTCTCTTTTTGTCACTCTTTTTGTCATTTTCAATTTTCATTTTATTTCCTTCAACCGACTCAATTCCTTCACTCCTTCTTCATAGTCTTGGCTCTCTTATTATTCTTCTCATTCTCCATCACCACAAATCCCCTACCACTTCTCGTGCATACTACATTTTAGTGCCCCTTAGGGTTTTGCTCGGTGTTGGCTGAGAAAAAACCTTTTTGTTGCTCTGTTAGCTGCTTTGCTATTTGCCCCACCTGTATCTCCAGATTTTTAATTGAAGCATCAGTGTTCTTTTGGTTGGACATAGACAATTGCATGAATTGTTGCAATGTGTCTTCCAACTTGGTGGTTCTCTCATATAAAGGTGGGTGTTGGTGTTGATGTGGAGGCCTGCTACTTGATGAAGCATTCATGTCTGGCTTGTTTCCACCATAGTTATTTCTCCACCCCTGATTTGAATTTTGCGGATAGGGGTGTTGAGAGAAATTTTGCCGCCCTTGATTCCCCATATAATTCACTGCTTCACCTTGGGAACTAGATGATCCAGCACAATAACCATTAGGGTGGTCACCTCCACAAAAATCACACGACATAACTTGTTGCATAGGAGGAGCATTAGATTGCATAGCTTGAAGTTGTTGAGGAAGCTTGGCCATCTGTTGATTCAAGGCTTCAATCTGTTGGGAAAGTATCTTGTTTTGAGCTAACACTGCATCTTGAGTACTCAGCTCTAAAACTCCTCTCTTGTGTGAAGAGCTTCTACCATGCTGGCTCCTAAAATCAGTGGAAGCCATGGACTCAATGATTGTGATAGCCTCTTCAGCAGTTCTGAACATGACTGACCCTCCAAAAGAAGCACCCAATATCATCTTGGTTTGAGGTTGTAACCCATTACAGAAAGTCTGAACTTGATGCTCCACCTCAAAACCATGATTGGGGCACCTCCTCAACAATGATTTGTACCTCTCCCATGCTTCACATAGTGGCTCATCCGCACCTTGAGCAAAAGTAGCAATAGCAGTTCTGGCCTCAGTGTTCTTGGACGGGGGAAAGAACCTGGCTAAGAATTTTGTCTCCACATCCCTCCAAGTGGTCAGGCTTTGGTTTGGCTGAGAATGAAGCCAAGCCTTAGCCTTCCCATTCAGAGAAAATGGAAACAACCTCATGAACAGTGCCTCTTCATCAGCCCTAGAAACTCCAACTGAACCACACAACTCATAGAAAGTGTAGAGATGAGTATGTGGGTCTTCATGATCCAAGCTAGAAAATTGATGAGAGTTGATAAGCTGTAGGAGTGCAGGCTTCATTTTTGCTAGTCTGTCATTCATGGTAGGCCTCACAATGCTCGAGAATTCCCTCGGGCTAGTGTAGGTGAAAGCATCACCTATAGTGCGCCTCCGGTTGTGATTGTCATTGTGAGCACCACCTTCACCTTCCATAGTGAACTCAGGAATGTCAGAGACAAGAACTTCAGGAATCTGAGTGGTTGGTTGGCCAATTGGATTAGCTCTAGTCCTCCTTCTCCTCCTGTTGCTATTATTCCTCCTTGTCGTGCGTTCAATCTCAGGATCGTTCAACAGTGGCTTAGAAGAAGCAGTACCTCTGGTTCGGATAGTACCTTGCATACAAGAGAAAACAAAAGACTAGAGTGCACAAGTCAGCCCAAAGAATTCATTTGCTAAAATCAAAATTAACAATAAAAGTAAAGGAACAAGTCACAAATAGCTATAAATACTAAATTGCCTTGCTAATCCCCGGCAACGGCGCCAAAAACTTGTTGAGATTTCCGTTGAAGTACTTTTGTTATAATTGAAATTTAGTTTAATTCTATCAACGGTCTCAAACACGGCAAGTATACCGGCCGTTCAAGTAGTAAAAATATCGTATCCACAGGGATTAGAAGGTAAAATAAGCATTTATTGACTATTCGTGACTAAAAAATAATTCCAATTTGTAGTTTGTCATGTAAATGTGAGATGAAGAGCATGACTATTGGAATGTTAAAACTATAAAAAGATTAGTTTTAGAATGGGAAAGGGTAGAAATGGGATAATGGTATTGTGAGGTTGTGGGGGTCCAATTTCACCGAACGAAACACTAATGTATCCTTAATCTCTTGTTAAATTCATTGCTTAGTCAACCCATAAGTTTACTCAAACCTAATCCCTTAGAGAAAGAGCCTAGGTGCGGATATTGAATATCAATCCCTTGAGTACCCAATATCTACACCCGCATTACGGGCTAGGGTTTAAGACTACTAATGGGCTAAGCTCCATTCCTAGATACATCTCCCACTAGGCATTTGTTTCAGAGCTAGTTTCAATGGTTATTTTCCAACACCCAATGGAACCCATATCATGCAAAGGAGAATCAATCCAAAGCAAGCATTAAGAATAGAAACAACACAACAATGAATGAACAACATATATATATATCATTGAAAATGTAAGGATTACACTAGAATTCGTTGGTTACATCTAACCCCACAAAAAATGGGTGAAACCACTCAAAACAATGAGGGCAAATACAAAATAGAGATGAAAGGAGAAATGAAGAACCGAAGGAAAGACCCACACACGACGGCTCCAAGCTCCGAGAATCCCTTCCACAGCTCCTAAAACGCGCCCAATGTGTGAATGAGGGAGAAACCCTCGAAAATGGCTTCAAATACGAGCTTGGGGAGACCAGATTAGGGTTTCACGCCCGGCGCGTAAGTCTTCGCGCCCGGCGCAGGGCCTTCCAGAGAAGTTGAGCACTATCTGCCTCAGGACACGCCCGATGTAATTTCCTTTTGCGCCCGGCGCAATGTCTTCTAGAGAGTTTGAGCTACTCTCTGTCTCGATCACGCCCGGCGCGTGTAGTCTCGCGCCCGACGCATGTGTCACTTGTAGGGGTAAGACACTCTATTCTGCTCAAGCCCGGCACGGGTCATCTTGCACCCGGCGCAACCACTCTACTCTGTTCCTTAGCTCCTTAGATTTCCAATCCTAAGGGTCTTCAATCCTCAATTCTCTAGCTCAATACCTGCACAAAAAATGAGGTATATTAAGGTATTGTTAGCTAAATTCTGGATTAGCTATATCTGCACAAAAATGAATCAAAAAGAGAATAATTATATTGCAATGGTTCAGAGGATGAGTGGATTTGTTCAATAAGTCTCAACCAAAAAGAGGTATAATTGAGACTTAACATTGGGTGGTTCCTTGAAGATAGTTAGTAGACTAATTCCATATGTGACTTAGTAATTAATGCAAACTATGGTCATGATATGTCTATACTCAATTATATTAGTCCTAATAGTGGAACCAAAATTTTTAGTGTAAGTGGCGACACTCAAGAAATCAAAGGAGGGATTGAAATCCCATTTAAGTGTCAATCTAGTAGGGCACATTGGGCATGAAAACGATTAGGTTGGTTCGATAAGGTTAAATCACTTAGAATGTTCAAGTGTATTAAGAGATCTTTGTAGGTGAGTGTGTGACGATACATTAGTTGTGGTGTGTGCATATGATGTGGTGTGAGTTGATTGTTCTTTATATGCACTAGATGAATACCTTGTTGTATGGTATGATTGTGGTGAATATTTGAATTGTTTGATGTTTAGCCTTCAAACATGTTGGTTGCTTTGTTGAATTGGTGGCTGTTGTGAACCATGATGTGTTTATGGTTAATTTATTTGTGGATGTTGATACCAGTATAAATGTTTTCTTTCTATACTTGTGTTTTTGAGACCTAGTTTACCCTTGCGTGTTTTCCTTGTGGATGGTATTACGATGGTCATGATTTTCACATAAGCAGATAGGGTTAGTTGGAGTTGAGATGTTGGAGCTTCTATTGGGCCATGTTGTTGGCATGTTGTCTTTGACTACTTTTGTTGGTTTATATAGACGTTACTTGACCGACAACTTAGGATTTTATATATTCGATACTTATCAGATTATTGTATATATAATTATATAGTTGTTTTAGTTGTATTTACTTATGTACATATCGTAGTTTACATATCTTGATATTGTGAGCATATAAACCTAAGTGGTTAGTTATCTTTCTGTTGCTAGTAGTAGATGATTTGCAATTGTAATGATCATGTTGGGTTGTTACAACTATCTCTCAATTTTCATCAAGTATGGTAGAAATAACTCTCTTTCTCTCAAAGTGTAGTACAAAAAAAAAATTTACTCTACTTTTCTCTTTCTCTCAAAGATGAATATAGAATAAATTGTACTGAATCAATTAGTGTAGTCCTCTGGGTGGTGACTACTCTCATTACAAATATCTCAATTTATAGGAGATGACATGACTCTTCATTCATGATTTTCCATCCATGACTCTCTATTCAAGGCTCTTTGTTTATGATTTTTCATCCATGACTCTTCGTTTATGATTGAAAACTTTGAATTGATTTCCAACACTGCCAATATATCATCTAACATATTTTTTAAAATATACATTTTATAATAGTTAAAATTTATTAAAAATTAAAAAGTCACAATAAATAATCATTATAAGATGTGAGCATACAGGGATTTAGAAACAAGGAAGGGGTAAAATTTTATTTATATATTTTATATTTATTAACAACAAATATATGAAATTCTTATGGGAGAGGAGGCAATCAGTCCCTCTAGATTGTCCTTGGACACGATTCTCATAAAATGTTATGATTTTTAATAAATTTTAATTAATAATAAGAAAGTTGTTAAAAAATTATGTTACTAACATTATGTATTTTAATTGTATTAATATTGGTGATATGTAATAAATACTTATCTAATATAATGATATTGATTGTATTTATTAGAATTTAAGATGAGTGGAATTTCCTAATATGAGTTACAAAGCCCTCAAAAGTAATATTACCCAGCTAGAATGTAGTTCAAGATAATTTTACTTTAGAATGAAATATGATTAACTATATACATGTACATTGAAAGAACTATGTGTGAGGAGGTGTAGTCCTTAGTCAACACACAGCTAATTTGGATTAATTATATTTTTTTATCTCTGAAAATCAAATTTAATATAAAACAAACATAATAATTTATGCATTTTTCAGTCAATTGAATCTCATTGACTAATTCCATACTTTGAGTTAAGGTAACTAGATATATTCATATATAGATTAAATTTTAAGCGTATTTCAAAACTATGCGTAAATTCATTTTTAGCTATATAAGTAGTTAACAAATTGAGTACGTAATAGTATAGTTGCATTAAAAATTTAGAAGAAGAAATTTATCACCAATGATTATCAAACTTTATTTAATTCAGAATATTGTTGAAGGTAGTGTTTAGATATATACTACAGTTGAATAAACAATCAGTTGGTGACTGTGGATGGAAATTGGCCGTTCTATTAGGCCTATGACGACTTAACCAAAGCAAAGTTTAGCTTGGGCCAAATTTTTCTTTTTAGAAAATAAATTATGTTAAAAAAATTTAGTAAATTCTATAAGTTTTAAGTTGTTTAAAAGTTTTTAGGTTTAACAAACGGACCTATTTTAGTAAAAATAAGTGTTTGTTGATAATATTGTTATTATTTTAAATTTGTTATAATGTATTAAAATTGTATATACATTTATCTTTTTAAATGTTGATTTATACAAACTTATAAATTTTCTGAAAGATAAATTTAAGTCTTATTTAGATGTCTTATTATAAAATATATTATTATTTGAATAATCATCATAAATATCAGATTAAATCTTAAAAGTATACTTATATAATAATAAATAAATAAGTTAGAGTCGATTCTCACAAAATATAATATATTTATTTTTCTTTTATTATGTTGTTAAATTGTTATAAAGTACTCTACCTCTTTAAACAAATTTATAGGGTTAAATCTTTTCAAAAAAAAAAAAAAAAAAAAAAAAAACTTATATTATAAATAAACAAACCGGACTTTAGCCATTTTTTTTTTTAACTAAAACCAAGTTTAAGTTTAGAAAAACTTAATTTGACATAACTTATTTTCATCGATATCAGTAAGTAGATACTCAAATGGCGTTGAGTATCTTGGTGATACTAGATATCCTTTTGTCTGATATGTTGTTGAAGCTTAAATATATTTTAATTTGTAAGTGGTCAACTTAATTGTTTTTTAATTATACTATATAACAATGTCCATAGTATCAGTATGTAGCCTCGAAATAAGCATGTATACAGCTGACAAACTGTCCTAGTGTATCACTGATTAAACAAATTAAATACTTTATACTAAAACGAGGATTAGAAAAACAAAATTCACGTTTGATTATTTAACAATTCTTTGCCTTTGCACCTTGTAAGTTGGACCAAATGAAGTTCTCTGTCTCCCCAACATACATAAATCTACTTAAAAAGAATAGGTAGGTTAAATGTGTAACATTGTAATTTTTTGTTAATTATTTTTTTTTATATTAATTACATTTTGTGATGTTCTTAGGTGTTGGTGGTTGATAAATTTTGAGAATTAAGAAATTTTCTTAAGTTTAGGTGGTTTAGAGATGTTCTTTGTGTAGAAGTCCAATTTGACTCTTAGGAGAAAAGTATATAAGATTTTTTTTAAGACTTGAGTTTCATAAACTTAATTCTTAAGAATTCTAGAGAACTAAACAAGTGGGAAGTCCTTTGGAGACAAGAT